TAAGGACACCCCACCCTAAATATACCTGGTTCAATTGAACCACCTTGACCCCCCCTTGGGCGCCACTGCTGCTATTGGTGCTTAAGGTATGTTTTGTATGCTAAAAAAAAATAAAAAAATTGTATAGTGTACTAATAAGTAATCAATAAATATTATTAACTGTTATTAATTGAATATAATGTAATGATAATTTGAAAGTTATATAAGTATATATTTTTAATTACAAAATATGATCCAAATTTTCATGATTTTGAGAAGTTTTGTCAAAATTTAAATTTCAAATATTTACAAAAATTGTTGTTACATATTTTTAATATTTTTAAATTAATATGAGAATAAATTATGTGTGTAACRTTTTCAAGATTGTTAACTAAGTTAAATATTTTAAGATAAAAAAAAAAATTTTAAATCAATCTAAATACCTAATGTGTTTTATGAAAATTGAATTATGTTTGTATCACCACAATGGGTATTGAGATTTTTAGAGTACATTATTTTGTTGTATATTACTACTACTGTACAAAATGTCTATACTATATAATTAAAGACATTTTCAAATGTATAAATATTATAATGTAGAAATTAATTTAACCGGCTGTAGTATTAATACCCCTTAATAAAATAAATTACTTTAATCATTCTGATATTAAATTGCTTAGTAATGTGATAGCCTCAGGATAGATTTTTATATGCAATGATAATTTAATTTTAATTTAACAAATCCATTAAAGTTATTCTAATCTCTAGAAACCTAATGTACAGCATAGCGCTACCCACTTACCAGTTTTTTGTTTTTGTTTTAGACTTCACCAAATAATAATAAATATGGAAAAAATAATTTTGTGGCACATAGACAAAATTCATGTTGGAATTGCAACTCTGTAAATCATTCATTGCATAATTGTCCTGAACCCAGAGTTCATTGGAAAATTTCAAAAAATCGACAGGCTTTTCTTAATCAAAAACAGCAGCAATATCAATCAAATTCGGGTGGTAGAAACTATAAAAATCGGTAACTAAAAAGAAACCTATAAGTTGTCCAGATTTATGTTGTTTATACATCAGAAAATGAGATTTGCTAATATAATAAAATATTTATTTTTAAAACTTTTAAGTTTAGATTGAAAAGAATATTGGTTGATGAAAATCAATTATTGATTAAATTGTTTATTGTAATTTAGGCTTGGCAGTCATAAGAATGTACGATACTTTGTAGCAGGAACTAAAACTTTATGGAGTGATTTAACACCTGGTAAATTAAGTGATGATTTGTTAAAAGCATTAGGTGTTCCTAAAAATGGACTACCAGTACATATTTATAGAATGCGAGAGCATGGTTATCCTAGTGGATGGCTTGAAGAAGCTAGAGAAGAATATTCTGGGATATCAATATATACTACACCTAATGAATGTAATTATATGTGTATTTTACTTTATATTAGTATTCAAAATATTATTTATACTTCATAGTTCATATAAGTAGTCAATATTTAAAATTATTTTTTGAGTTTAAAAATATAAAAATTTAACACATGTAATTTTAATATAAATTGTATATAACTAAATGGAACATCATTTCAAAATACTTTATATTAACATGTCTGATACGTCTAGTTCAGAAAAGTATAAAGCCACATTGTCTGTATTTTATAAACCTTTTAAATATTATGTATTTATGTGTGTATAAATTATATCGGTGTTAGACTTGATAATTTTATTGGTAGCAATGAATAAGTTAGATTGAGTCAAATATTTTTAAATAGAAACATTTTTCCTCTTCTTACAAAGATTTATTTTTATATTTATATCAACGTTTTATATATTAAGATTTACTAGTACACTTAACCTATCTGCTTTAATTTAATCTGATTTCATTATTCATTTAAAATTATCAGTTGAATGTACATATATTGTTACATTTGAACATAACATTAATAAATATATATATATTTTTTTTTTAGGTTTACCTCTTCCTGGTAGAGAAAATGGAATAAATAATTACTTCCATTGCAATATCAATGAAAAAAAATTACATGAATATCCTGGATTTAACGCTCCTTGTCCACCAGATTTTATTGATGTAAATTGTTTTTAATAAATTACGCGATAAATGGAGAACGAACTTATATGCAAATGCATATATATATAATATATATTTAAATGGTTTTGATTAAATTTCAAGTACATATTTTAGAACATAATATTTCAGTATTTTTAGAGTTAATTTTGAGAATGTCTTGTGCATATAAATACGTTCTCTAGTGATAAATTACCAAGCCAAATGTAACATTTAAGAAATCAGGACTTATTAGTTAAATGTTTTATGTATAATTGTGTACTCATTTATTTATAGGAAGGAAAAAGATTTGGTTGTCCTGAATATAATCCAGATCAAAGCCTCAAACATATGTATGAAAGATTAAAAGCTGGCCAAATTGGTAAAAATGGAATAGCATTGTCTGGAGTTAGTAGTCAATATCAAGATACAGAATTTGCATCTAACTCTAATGGTAATGATTATTGAGAATGACTATCTACCGTTTTTGTTTTCTCTTTTTGGCTGACACATTACATAGATAAAACTAATTCACGTGAAATAATTTTGAGTTGTCTAAGAACGAAATGATACGTTCAAAAATGAATGACATGGTATGAAATACCAATTTTTGTAAATATTGTCCAAAACAATTTAATATCCATTTGAATATACTATTTTATTTTCATTTTTAAAGTTAAAAAATAAAATTATTTTTGATATTTCAAACCCTCWAAATATTTTCTTAAATTATTTTCATTATAAATAATTTTGAAGTTAATCAAATCTAACATTTTTTTACATGAATGCGTATAACTTATGACACAAGGGTCTGAGAGAAAATATAAATGTTATACTGAGTTATACTGATATCTTCTTTGGCATATTATAAGCTTTTATTGGACTAAATTTCAAGTATTTTATGTATATTTAAGTACTCAGTATTGTTATTTAGTTAATCTAACTAAACTAGATATTTACTAGAATATAATGAAGTTAAAATTTTATTCTTATTAAAGAAATAAAAAAAAAAAAATAAGTTGATACTGAATTTGTACCTAAAAGTGATATATTTGTAWTATTTAACTTGAAAAAATTATATAAYATATGCATATCACAATTTGATAAGACTTATTTAACACAATATAGACTAGCTGCACTGGTTGTAAATCATTGATTCCTTACACAGATGGCATTCATATACATACATTATTCTATATTATATTAATATTTGTTTATACCAAATTATGTTACTCTTATGTAATTTTAAAAACATAAAAATATTTAAATAATTTAGAATGCCCAATTGAAGAAACCACCCTGAATATAAAAACCGAAAAAGAATTAAAAGATAAACCACCATCATCGCCTGAAGATGGAGAAATTACTGAAGATGAAACTAGATCTGACAAAAATGATGAAGAAGTAAGAATTATTTCAATGTTAATATTCAAGTTATATAAGTACATTGTTCAAATATTAATTAATTAAATTCAGTGATAAATTTTAGTATTTTGAGCACAAGAGAAAAAAATGAATTGGTTCTTAATACATTTTATCTAAGTAATTTATTTATGTAAATATAATTTATTATTGGTATTTGACTTTATATTTTGTCACTATAAACTTGTAAATTGTATTTGTTGTGAAAACTAATAAAACATTGTGAATTCATGCTCAGTTAAAAAAACCTGATAAAAATTATACCTATAGTAGAATTGATTCAACTAATATTTTAATATAAAATCGTATTTTTCAGTTATTATCTAATGAAACAGTGTCAGTAATTGACGAACATAATATATCAATCCCGATTGAGAGTAATTCAGATACTCAAAATAATTCCAAATCAAATGTCTCTAGTTCAATAAAGATAGACGATGAATTAAACTTGACACCAACAACAAAAAGGCAATTTGGTGAAGTGAAATCTGAAACCCTTGGCACTCCGGTTCTCAAAAACTTTTCATCGTATGGTAATCGACCAGCCCATGAACATTTTGCTAAAGGAATGGTTGATATGGTAGATCATGAAAATTTGCCTAATGCTACAGGGACATTTAAAAAGTTAAAAGAAATATTGAAGGATGTGCGTAAAACAATTAAAGATTTACTATGAGTATTATTGACAATTTACTTCCAAATTTATTTAGTCAAAATATTATGAATATTTTCTATATTTTGTCAACTATAAAATCAATTTTTATTTTATCAATTTCATATTGATAAGTAAATAATGTGTATTCGTTGAACTGTTAATGACAAAATACCCCATGATTGTATTACTTAAATTTCAATTACAGTTTTGTTTTATTTATATGTATTAAACCATATTTATTATCAGCTTAAAATAATATATTCTTAACAATATAAGATACTAATATTAAAAAATGATAATTCAATTTCAATTATATGATTTTAGCTTATTTTTTTATTGCATGCTTGATAAAAATAATTAACAGTAGGGATTATAAATATATTTTTGAGGCTATATAATACTTGTTGTTAGTGTTTGTTTACCTAGGATTAGTTTTCGTAAAGTTATGTAATATATAAACATATTTTTTAATATCAAACATAAGTTAAGTGATGACACAATGTATATATGACTTATTGTTTCCTTTTGTTTAATACAGTAGCTAACTAATTAATTTCAACTAAACTTAGGTTATCATATAATTATAAAAAATGTCCTTTGCAATGTCTAATTTTTAACTTTTTAACTTCTTTCTAATTATTGACAACTTGTAAATAAAAGTTATTTTTAATCTAATGTCTTAAAAAACTSTGTATAAAAATTTAGTATCTCAGTCAATCCATTAAAATCATAAATAATAATTTGCTATTTAACTCTTCTGTTTTGTTTTGTTTTTGAACTGTTGTGAAATTTTGTTATATATATTTTACGGAAATAACAAATAAACTTTTATTTACAATATGGTATGTCATTGAGAGGACGCTACACACATATTAGTTGTCTCCGTCTTACAATTGCGTGACACAGTGAATTTACGCTTAGCAGATCACGTTTAGCTCCGTTCATTTAAAATTTAGAGAAAATTAAACTATTATGAAATTTGATGGTTAGAATGTTATCTGTGTTTGCATCTGGGTTTTTTACGATTAATTAGTTTTTAAGGAGTTATGAGTATGTTTAATAAACACTTTTTATACATGCATTTACTCAAATTTTTAAACAGACGGAGCTAAACTTGATTTGCTAAGCGTAAATTCGTTATGCCGTACACTTGTAAGACAGATTAGCTAATATACGGCGAACCTACAATACGCTTCACCTTCATACGTTCTAAGCTAGTGACTCTCTAAAATAAATTTAAATTAGCGCTTGTAACTTATTGGTATGATGGTGTGCGTTTGTCGATTCCGTTCGTTTTCTAAAATTGGAAATGACTATTAGGACCCACGATCGTAGCGCTATTCAGGTCTATGTGTCTGAGCACTGTTCCAATATAAAGATATGAACTGAACGAAGAAGACTTGAAATAATAATATTRAACTCGGGTTTTCAGGTTGGAAACACTTTTTTATTGAATTAAAACAAATATAAATAAAACACTTAGCAAATCCAGATTGTGTATAGCCAGTATTATGGTCGCCGTTTCACCATAGGCGTAACTTGACCTTAAAGTTAGGGGGTGCTTCAGCCATAGAAGTTTCATA